GAGTGGCTTCGGCATCATTCTCTGTCGAAGTCTTACAACCCGAAAATTTACAATTTTCAGGTCCTTTTCGCCAGCGTCTAACCTATGTTGTAGTTCTTTCTCGGCTTCCCGTCTTTTAACACGGTCTGCCAACGGTAGGTCCTTTCGGATAAAGACTCCTGAACCCTTTAATTTGTGTCCATTTTGTAAAATTAGGTCACGTTCGTTTGAAGAGCCGAATACTACTTTAAGCAGTCTGGAATGATTTGGTTTCGAGTCCGTTAGACTCCCTAGTCTATACACCTTTAGCAAGGTGACCCCAGTCATATTTTGAGGCATGAGTTGATTAAGCAGCTGCCTAATCAGTACAATGTCATGCTCAAAACGAGCTTTAGGTTCAGAGCTATCGCTCTCCTTAATTCTATGAAAAATAGCTGATCTGTCGCTATGATCAGCTTTCGATTTTTCAACCACTTTTACGGGGGCAGGTTTCCCTTTTATATCAATACTTTTCTTCCTTACAACCTTTACCCATTCGTCAACGCTGCTGGTAGAAGCAATAGCAGTTGCGTCAAACCTAGTGTTGGGTTTTGGGGGGTTGTCGACGACCTGAGGGGTCGTGTTATGTTTACCATTTGAAACCGATCGAGCCTTGCGATTGCGGCTCCTAGGTGTTTCCTGTTGGATCCCATCTGGGAGACGGGGAACAGAAGACCCTACTTTTCTTGAGCTTTTTTTAAGGCAGGCCCCTTTGGAGACTGCTTTTCCTTCTTTGACGGGCGTGAGTCATCTATCACCGGACTCACCTTAGTTTCCTTCACATTGATTTGCGTGTCAACAGATCGAGTGCTGTTTGACGCGTTCCGACTATGCTTGTTGAAACACTTCTTTGCAGCATCAACCAGTGAGATGGCCTCGGTTAACAAGCTGTTTGCATCCGAGCAGCACTGTTGACAAAGCCACACACAACCCTTCTTACTGAACCGTTTGAAAGCAGCAGGCGTTAAGTTCGTGCAAACTTCGTGGTACCAGCCTTTGCACTCGTCGCACTGCATGCCGCTTTCAACAGGATAACGACAACCCGGACGTTGGCAACTGCTTTTTTTACACTGTCCGGTCATTTAGGAGGGGTTTTTTCAATATGCGATGATACCCAGAAACAAAAAAATTATCAATGACCAAAAAAGTGAAGAGCTGTAGATTGCTAGGACCAAAAGTACTAACAGATACAGTTGAAAAAGAGGTACTAAAGAGTACCAACGACAAAAACAGTAAAAACGATACTTTAGTCAAATACTTTAACTGAAATAAATTCAATTAAAGTGAAAAACAGTAGTCTTGATACGTAATAAACGATCAAAACAATGAAATTTACTCAGCGAGGAAAAATACCACTGTCCTTTTTAAATAGCGCGCTCAAGAATTCATCCAAGTAACGAATTGGTTTGCACCTCAGAAGTGTGTAAGTCCTATTACTCATTAGTATTATGAGTGATTAATTAGTGTAAGTAATATTGAAGTCACTTTCTCCGTGGTCTGATGTGGATTAACGGCTAAGCACGCGGTCTAGCATTCAGGAGGGCAGAGGTTCGAGTGCGTGTTGGAGGCCTGCGTTTTTGTTCACCAGGCCCACCTTCAATACGATGTTTGTTGCCCGTAAGTCGCGCACATATGAGAGAAAAAATGACAAGAGGACAGATTGATATATCAAAGTGCCATATTGGAAAAGTATAAGTTCTTTGTTTACATGAATATTATCACTATAGAAAAAAAACTACAAGTTTAGTAAATTTGAGGTTAAATTGTGTTCAAAAAGGGCTCACCAATTCGTGCCTTGAAGTAACCCTCGTGCTATTGATAGAAGAAACCAGACAAGTAGTGAATAGGTCTTTATTTCGATCTTAGCGGTGACAGTGGAGCATGGGATTATCTGTTCAGACAAACAAAGGCTCTCAACATTCAATATAAGATAATGGGGAATATAACGCTTACAAAATAAGGAAGTGAATGAATACTTGAACAATACTGTTTTGACATATGCTTGGTTGTTTGGGGTCAACTCTTAACCAACCAACCTAAGCTGTTACAAAATCACAAGTGAAGAGGTTCAAAGATATATTTGATAGACTATCAACATATCGAGAATTGACTACTCTAAACTGGCTACCGGTTGTAGGAAGATTTGAGAACAGCGTTCTTACTCGTGATCTGTTGCGATGCATGACCGAGCGCCTTCAGCCAGGTGAATCCCTTAAAACCAGTGTGGTTAGCATCCAATGTCGAAGACTTACAGAACTGTTGATTTTCGGGATTTATTTGCCGCTTCATATATTTAGTCAAATTTAGGAACAAAAGTAAAGAGTAACATAACAAGTGAGAAAAACATGAGTCAATATAGAATAATAAGCAATGTTATTATTGGGCGTGATAAGTTCGGAAAAAGATCACATGTATCGTATTAGTTCATGATAAAATTACATTTTTGATTGTGTTTAGGAATCTTTGTGGATCAAAAAAATTAAATAAAATAGTTGACTGTATTTTCACCAACCTGAGAACTTTAAATACTATTAAGACACAAATCATATAAAGCAAACAGCTTAGTAATTCAACTCAGTTTAAAGTTTGAACCAAGAAAGCGCCACTTCCGACAGATGCGTTGCTTCCAAGGTAAGTAGTCCTGCATCCGAAATGGTCTTGGTCGTTACAGGAATTAATTACATGGTCACTAGTTATTCAGCATCTAAGACTTATGCTGAAAAATACTGAATCCAATACTGATACCAATATTTTCTGGCTGATTGTTGTATAAGCATAGTTTGTTCAACAAAACCTCGATTATAAGTCAATTTGTCCTCAAATTTCACCGTAACCGAGAAATTTCCTCAAAACAGCGTACGTCACTGAGGAAGATTGGGTTTTTTCCCGAATTCATCTGATCTTTGTCTTCAATACCCTTTAATCGGTTGCTTAATTTTCGATCCCAGGATCGACAATTCCGTTTCTCTAAAAGCACAGTAACTTCGTTTGCATGCACTGGTGGATTAGCTATTAAAATTTAAAGGATAACTTTCAAATCCTGTCATTTTTTTGAGTTGATAGCAATGGGACTGGGAGTAATTATATATGTAGGTAAATAGATCACTTATTTTCTCGGTTTTTGTATAAAGTTATAAAAACATCAAGCACCCAAAAATCAGTTTGACTGTTAAAGTAAGCATAGTACGAATATTTGTACCTAATTTGTCTTTTCAGTGACGTGAAGAGCCATGTCCTGTACTTGCAATACTTACCCTCCGAAGTAATGTTCGGTGACTTATATTCAATCGTATTAAATCTCCTAGTGATCGCTCATACCGAGTAGTGGATCTAATTAACGAGAAGTTGCAGTGATATGTGCTTGGGTACGATTATCTCCGTTCAGTTTTCATCGCCATTCAAAAACACTGGCCTAGATGGCCTAGACATGCTCTACGAATATTGTCTAAGAGAATTCCGCGGTTCGCTATTTTTAAATGCTAGCCCTAGCTAAAAAGGTGGATAATCGATAAGTCTATGGAAATGTCATAGGCCAATGGGTTATGACAACATCACTTTCGAATTTTGTAACACTGTGAGGGTCAGAGGTAAACCGCACAGAAGCCTCACGCATTTTGTTATAACTTCGTCTATTTATTTAAGCACAACCCAAGTGATTTGTGTGAGGACTGGAATATTATCCGAGCTCTCAAACCGAAGAAACGTTTTCCTAAGTGGTTACTTTCCGAGCTTTTGACCTACAGGTCTAGTCCATAAGTCAGTAAAGTAAGGTTAAGAGATGCAGCCTGATGGTAGCCGGTGACTAATAATAGTTTCATACGTCATTTGTCTCCTCAGAGTCCTGGAGCACATGTGCACCATCGGTTTAGAATCAGGGTTTTCCAAATCCCCTAGGTAGACCCTCCGTCTCTACCAACCCGGTTAGGGCGCCGAACATTCGCTTTCCGCCCTCTCGATTTCGTAAACAAAACTCCAGCCGTGAAAAGACAGTGGCTGCATATACGTGGCCAAGAGAGAGCTGACTCTCTCACCCTCGATTGTGCCAGGGAACTTGGGAGCTTTATGACTACAACTTAAGAAGACACTCATTATCTACAGCCTAAGGTCGATCTGATTGTTTTGTCCTCATTGGCCGATCAAACCAAATAGCTCTCTTACGACCTGGAAATCACACTTGTTAGTTTCCATAAAGCGACACTTTTTTTAAATAGTATAGGCAACTAATACCAAGGTAAACGTAAAACTTATCATGTTATTGTCATTGTAAGTTCCTACACTGCATAAAACAATGAATAAATAATACAAATAGTAGAAATAGTAGCAATTGTATTAGTTGTAGCAAACAACTACAAAAGAAACATTTCTGGATGTTAAGATAAAAAGAAATAGATTCAAGATATGTCCGTTACAGCAGTCTGGAAAATAAATATTTTGTGTCTTTGTGGTCTAGCTCAAACAGCTTTTCAATGTCCTCATGCCTACAGTCCATGCGTTGACTATCTATTATAAATCCAATAGACTCGTTTTTTTGCCTTGCTATGACCACATTTAAGCTACCATCCCGCTTCATTTATTATTATATATCAAAACTAGCAGTGTCTGAGCGTTCATAGCATTCAATCTGCTTACCCAACTCTACTCAGTTTTACTATCTCCATCTGATTCTCTCTCACTTTAGACCATCATTAATCACCAAACTAAGATAATAAGGCTAGAAATCTGAAGCTGAATTATCACTTTATGGTCTTCCAGAAATTGGAGGAAGAAGGAAACCTTGATTATGGTTTATTTAAGTTACAACAGTACTCGTTGATTGAGTTCTTGTAAGACCCTTACCATTTCATTATCATTGTGAACTTTGTATAGCTAAACTTAATAGCACACCTATTCGAGAAGTGTAGGCCTAATTGTTTCAATTTTTATAAAGGCTATTTATCTAAGAATTGTTTGTTTCCCGATCGTCTGGTCACTGTCCCTTCTGTATGTTTATACATATGGACCAATCAATTAAACTGAATCACTGTTGTTCTCCGTCATCGATGCAAAACAAGCTAATCAATGGAGTTCAAATGAAAGCAAATCGTATAGTAGATTGTGATTATTGTCATTTACCTTGTATCACTCAAAAACATAATAAATCTCGTAAGTTATAATTGAAAGACTTTGATGGTTGTTTGTTAATTTATGTGTTTTTCTATATGGCGTGGGACAATGCTCGTAGTTTCATAATCAGTTTCGTAAAAATCGACTTTTATTTTACATCGAATATCCTATTAATATTTGCATCTTATTATATGTTTGTTTCCTAACTCTAGCGACATGAAATTACCATTTATCGCTTAGCATTGAGTATGTATTATTTGAATGTACCCGGAAAATTGTTTTCAGACTAACCGATAATAAAAATGAGTAATATCGACCATCTTAAAAAGCGTTTATATGTCAATAATTTAGTATCTAACATATAATGCACTTTATCCTCCATATTGAACTTTGATTTCATTTCCAATCATATCGTAATGTTTATTGTTATATCTTCTTAACTGAGTACCTACTTAACTTGAACATTAATACCATACTATTATCTTAAGTATTTGTGTCTTTTACATATTGTTTAAAATTACTAGCTATCTTTTCTGAACACTTAAACACATAAGTACTAGCTAAACTAAGCATTTAACTCTAAACGCAGGACGTAAGTCGCGTATTTCAATCACAATATGACTTTCTCATATTTTTTAGGAATATGCTTTCCTGTTTTAGTTGAAATTCAGGACTCGGCCTAAGCGTAAAGTTCCGTTGATTACCCTACTACATCGACCTTAGTATATGAGTGGATGCATTGTTCTGGTTACTCATTTGAATCTAAAGATGTTTTTAAAAGTCCTACTGATCAACCTTTCGGTGTACACCAAAACAATTTCATTTCAACGCTTTACACATACAGTTTATCCAATTATTTATGCCTCAAGTATTTAATTGTCGAAACATGAGCTTTCTAATGTTGTGCAGAACTTGCTTGATTGTGTGTAGCCAATTATAGCAGTCTTCTAATCCTGTGCTACAACTACCAGGGTGTCGATAGAAAGACCATACATCAGGTACACTAAGTATCTTACCGTTAGCTTTTCTTCCCATGTTAATATTAAGTGAAGCAAAGCAATGAAGTAGGGACTTTCTCGACTAATATTTTCGTTCAAATTTTTATTGTTCTCTAATTTCCCCCCAAATGCCCTGGTATGGCCGAGAGCGGGGTGGGTTCGCCCTCCCTCTTGAAATACTCTCACACGGCCGCGCGTATACAGCCTCTGCCAGGGAAGTCCTACTCACTGCCTTCTCGTGGCGGGGGTGTTGTTTACGAAAGTGAGAGGACGAAAAGCGAATGTCCGGCGCTTTAACCGGATTCCAAATCAATGGTGCACATGGGCACCAGTATCCTGCGGGAACAAATGGCGTATGAACCAATTTTCGGTCACCGGCTGCCATGGGACTGCATCTCCTCACTATGCTCCACTGCCTTGTGAGTTAGACCTTTAGGTTAAAGGCTCGGGGTGTGGCCCCCTAAGATAACCACCTGCTTCGGTTTGGGCACCCGGGCAGTATCGCAGCCCACACGCAATTAATGAACTGAACTGTCTATGATCATGGAAACTAATTCTCTTGCTTCGACGAACATTCAAATGATTCAATTATCATTATTGCTATTATTATTATTATTATTATTATTATTATTATTATTATTATTATTTACTACGTCATTATTCACCCTCTTTTATTCCTACTCTGTCTATACTTTTTTTTCGACTTATACAGCAGCTCGTCTATGGTGGAAATTCGACTCTATCTAAACGTTCTCGAGTCACTGTCCGGTTGAAAATTGTATGTTACCACCGAATACGAGGACTGAAGCAGTTTTTCTGAAACCACGTGCACCATTCAAACTGGCTGCCTTCAACGTTCGCACATTTATGCAGGTCGGACAACAGATAGGGCTGGCTATGTCTTTGGAAAGTCTTAATATTGATGTTTGTTGTCTATCCGAGACCCGTATTCAAGACTCTGGCGAAGTACTACAAATTCGATCTCCATCTGTCGCTTCGAAAAGCTTGTTTTACGTGCGCTTATCCGGGGACCCTGTGGCATCTTCGTCTGGTCTTGCTGGCGTTGGTGTCGCACTAAGCGCTAGAGCTGAGGCAGCACTAGTCGATTGGATCCCCATTAACAGTCGGTTATGTGCTGTTAGATTAGAAAGTTCCATCAAAGTGAGAAGAAATCGGCGTGAGAAACGATGTCTTTTCGTCATCTCCGCCTATGCCCCGACAGATTGCAGCCCGGATGCAATCAAGGATGAGTTTTACCACCAGTTAACTGTTCTTCTCCAGAAAGTGCGTTCGACAGATATTGTAGTACTAGCCGGAGACTTGAATGCTCAGGTCGGGCGTCTAGGCACAGAAGAGAGTCGTTTAGGTGGCCGATGGGGACTTGTTGGTCGCAGGTCAGATAACGGGGACCGTCTACTGCAACTATGCACAGACCACAACCTGTTTCTGGCTAGCACTAACTTTCGGCACAGTCATCGCCGATGTGCCACCTGGCGTCCTCCCTCTGCATCTCAAGCCTGGACTCAGATTGATCACATCGCGATCAGCTACCGCTGGCGTGGTTGTGTACAAGACTGCCGCTCCTTTTGGAGTACCTATCTGGACTCTGACCATGCCTTGGTCTGCGCCAATCTTGCCTTACTTTTCAGTGGACAACGAAGTGACCGCCACCAACGGATTGATGTTAGCAAGCTGGTTGCAACTTCTGTTGCAAGTAAGTATCGAACCGAGCTAGCCTCTAGGCTAGCTACCACTCCACCGAAAAGTATAGATGAGCATTGGTTGCAATTGCATGACGCCATGAAAATGGCAGGTAAAGTCAGTTGTGGGTTTGCGAAACGTCCCGCTTTAAGCACTGGGTTTCTTCTGGTTCCTTACAACTCATTGAAGCCCGTCGGTCTACTCCGGGTGACCGTGAGTTTGACCATAAACGAAGGATGTTACGTAAGGAAATTGGGCAAAGCTTGCGTAAGGACCGAGAAGCCTGGTGGTGGAGCGTGCTAATGAGCTGGAAGCAGCAGCTGCATCTGGTAACTACCGGAAGCTCTTCCAACTCATCCGAGCCACTGGCAGCAAGAAGTCTGGTGTGAGTGAAACAATCTGCGAGGATGATGGGATGCCAATCACTAACATCCATCGACGTCTTGGACGATGGGCAGAATTTTTCGAAGGGCAGTTCAACTGGCCTGCTGCTCCGGCAACATCGGTCAGACTGTCCTGCCCTCCATGGCCGGTGACGACTGATCCACCAAATGAGGAGGAAGTCCGCAAGGAACTCCAACTCTTGAAGCGTTACAAATCACCTGGCCCAGATGACTTACCTCCGGCTCTTTTTAAAGATGGTGGTGACTTTTTGACTAAGGAATTGACGACGTTGTTTACAAAGGTTTGGGAACTAGAGAGTGTACCAACGTCATGGAATGAGTCGATAGTTGTCCCTATCTTTAAAAAGGGTTCACGTCGTTCCTGTAACAACTATCGGGGGATAAGTCTACTTCCGATTGCGTCCAAGCTATTGGCTTCCGTCATACTTCGTAGGTTGTTCAAAACCCGAGAAAGATTGACTCGCGAGGAGCAGGCTGGGTTTCGTTCTGGTCGAGGATGTATTGATCATATCTTCACCCTCCGCCAAATGTTAGAACACCGCCATACTTATCAAAGGCCAACAATCGTAGTGTTTCTTGACATCAGGGCTGCCTTCGATTCGTTGGACAGGACTGTTCTCTGGGATTGTCTATTGAAGAAGGGTGTGCCTGAGAAGTTTATTAACATCCTAAAAGCCCTATATAAAACACCTCAGGCAGAGTGAGGGCATACAACCACCTCTCTCCATTGTTCCATTCGAGCAGTGGGGTTAGGCAGGGTTGCCCAATCTCACCATTCCTCTTCAACTTTGCCATCGATGACATTCTGGAAACAGCTCTGATGAATGTAAGTAATGGTGGTGTGGATCTGTTGCCTGGAGAAAGACTTCTCGACCTTGAGTATGCGGACGATATTGTCTTACTGTGCGATAATGCCCAAGGCATGCAATCCGCACTTAATCAGTTGGCAATCAGTGTCCGTAGGTATGGTATGTGCTTTGCACCTTCGAAGTGCAAAGTACTTCTACAAGACTGGCAGGATTCTAATCCTGTACTCACCCTGGATGGTGAGCAGATAGACGTAGTCGAGAAGTTCGTGTATCTGGGTAGCTGCATAAGTGCTGGTGGGGTGTGAGTGATGAGATCAATGCACGTATAGTGAAAGCCAGAGCGGCTTATGCCAATCTGGGCCACCTTTGGCGCCTTCGTGATGTTAGTCTGGCTGTAAAAGGTCGGATCTACAACGCGTCGGTGAGAGCAGTTTTGCTCTATGCTTGTGAAACCTGGCCTCTCCGAGTTGAGGACGTTAGACGACTCTCTGTGTTCGATCATCGCTGTCTCCGAAGGATTGCTGACATTCAGTGGCAACACCATGTCAGTAATGCAGAGGTTCGGCATCGTGTGTTCGGGCACAGAGATGATAATCAATTGGTGTCACCATCTTGAAACACCGACTTCGGTGGCTTGGACATGTTCTACGAATGTCGTCCCAGAGAATTCCACGTCGTGCATTATTTGCCGACTCTGGGACTGGTTGGAGAAAGCGGAGAGGTGGTCAGTGCATGACATGGTGTCGTGGTATGAAAGAAAGCTGCAAAGGACTGGCTTGTGTCGGTCCTTCACGACTCCCTGGTTGGGGTCCGAGAGATGGTGCTACACAGTGGCTAGAGACGTTATCAGATATGGCTCAGAATAGAAGCCAGTGGCGATCCTGCTGTAACCTTCTTTTACTTTCTTCATAAAACGTGGTTGTATTTTCCTTAACTGAAAGATTTCTTCTGATTGTACCTTTCTGTTCCCCTACTATTACTATTATTATTACACTACCTTACACCAATCTCTTCGTTATTGTTTTTTTATATCTTTTTTTTACGTCTCCCACTTTTTCTTTTTCTTAAATTCTCATTGTTTTGTGTGGCGCATATATATTTGGCGCACTCCTGTACCAATATATGTGTTCAAATAAAATAATGAAAATTTCCTTTTATACTTGATGATTTTATTCTCTTTTAAATGACATATCTCAGTTCCTATACCTGCCAGCTTTTATAGTGTAAAGAAAACAATATTGAAATACATTTACGTAGACGAGATATCTGTCTATTATAGGGCGAGTATATCGCTCATCGACCCAATCCTTTTGACTGTTGAATAGATTTGGAAGAATAGAAATATTCACACTTTACTGTAGGTTAGTCATAGATGTCGTCAAGCAATGTTAGGATTTTTGGTGGATCAATCGAGCCAGCCGTTTTGAAGCTAAAAATAGAATACTAGGTAGATATGGTTAATTGTTTAATAAGAGGTGGTTAGGGTATTCATCAGGTATATCAAGTCATTACCAACATCACCGAGTAATGTTGATTTATGTAAGGGTCTGTTGGAAGCAAGCTAGGTATGTCAGTCTACAGAGCCATCGACTTTTGGTCTGAACCGTGTTGGTAGGCCCAAACTATCTAACTAGGGTCCGGAGGATAACCCTAAATAGCATTTAGACGTATTGAGCAAAATTACACAATGGTACAAATGGATTGACTCTATCCCATCCATAGATCCAATATCACTCCGTACATAACTTATTTGTCCTTTCTTGTCATGCCATATACTCTATGTTTATTCTTATTATCATTGCTACTACTATTTTGCCTTCTGCCTTATTGTTTATTTACCCTCTCTGAGTTGATTTAGCGTTCCAACTTAAATCGTCACACATTTGTCCAAGGTTCTGTTCTGTTTATGATTGACTGACTGCACGTTTATTAAATTCTGATGAAATACCTAGTTTTAGAAAGTTAGCAATAATACTGTATTGTAAAAGCGGACATAAGCGAGAAATAATATTCAAACCTTAGGTTGACGGATTCACACTTAAATAGATTAATTTGTACTTTCTACCTCTTCTATGAACTAGGGCGTGAACTACATAGTTTATGTAAAACCTAATAATAGCCATAATATACAGTCTTCTGAACTGCAATAATTAAAATTAAGTTTAAGCCTGCAGTTTTGGACTTGTAATCTAAGCAATAATGTCATTGAATCGCATCAAATTGTCTCAGCAATCTATAACTTCGAACATGTATACCTCCAATTCGATTTCAAGTGTGAGCTGTCGTGTAAATTACGAAGAAACAAATAAAACGATGCAACATCATCGTATTATGTAAGATAGATGAATCCACTTCAGAGGCGTTATTGAGTTGGTTTCATTATTTTTTAATTGATATATTCAATGACGGTTACAAGCTTGCTATATTTCTCATAAACTTAGTATCTCAGTACATTGCGCTGTAACTTTTTGACTATTCGTCCTTTATGCTTGAATATAAGATTCTCATTCAAATGTTATCAGAATAATTTCAGAATGAACTATTATTTATCTCAATTCCAGACATTTTCAGTTTAAGCACTCAATTTTATTAGGAAGAGGGATTTTCGTTTTTTTCCTAACTAGAATGAGTTTTACAAATAGTTACCTATAAACATTTCTGTTTCCTTTAGTTCTAAGTGGATAAAATAAGAAAGTTTGTAGGCGGATATTTCAATCTGGCTACATGTAACGGTTATGCATGGAATGTGTATTACATAGTAGTTTCATATTTTTATTAATATACTTATAGATTTTAGTATGTAACCAATTATTATTATAATATTCTAAATGTCTTTATCTACACGCCGTACACTTAAGGACATTCGGTATTGCTATAAACTCCCAGTTAAATGGCGCATGCACAGATATATTGAGATCGGTTCAGTATTTCCCTCTATACCTTTTCACAATATATATAGTTGTAATCACTATCGTGTCTATAATTAATACGTCTTAGAATTATCATTTGTATGGGTATGGGAACTGGATATCCGTATATATTTTTCTGTTTTTTTTTTCTATTAAGAATAAATGTATGCATAATACTGTGTGAGACAAATTGCTTATACCTTGTCATTAATCGTCTTAGCCATTTTGTGCTTTTTCTTAGGACAAAGTGGTCCACATTTTTCTATACAGAATATTATTTTATCTCAATTAGTTAACCTTTATTCTATATTCTACATTCTTCTGTTAATGTAAACATGAGTTCTTTGAGGTTGCACCCACCTACTACAAAGGTATCATTTTAAATAATGTCTCGAAAGTTAACCTCAATGATTATCTGACATTTAACCGGAACTCATAAACAATGAATTCGGGAAAGCTAGCACAGTTTTAAACCTGGACTTGGATGTGTAGATCAAATATTCACTCTTCATCAGGCTTTGAAACGTGGGCATGTTACCAAGGTCCAACCATAATTACATTTGTTGACCTTAAGGCGATATTCGATCCCATCAGTTGCGCTTTGTATCTCTCGTTAGGGTATCTACCAAAGACGTACTCAGTGCAAACACAAGCCGCAAACTATCGTTCGGGTCAGAGCTTATGGCAAACGGTCATGGGAATTGTCAACTTGTAGTGGTGTTTGTCATAATTGGTCATCTTTTTTTGTCTAATTTCGTCATATATATTTTCCTAGAACTATGACGTTCCTCATCGAACTTTCAAGAGATTAGTCTTCTCCCTATAAACCTACTCATCGACCTCAAATTGGCGGTCCTATTTAAGGATTGCCATGCGTAACAATACAAGCATATTCAGTATATACTTCTCTCCTCCAAAATTTTGCTTCACGACATGAGGAGATAAATTTGTCCCGTTTATCGACCACTTCAATTATCCTAGAAGTTGCATCAGCCCTGGTGGGTTGGTAGCTGACTAAATTTTGCTACCGATTCAAAAAGCTCGTTTGTTTTTTGGTAACGTTTATCACTTGTGACGTAGGCAGGGTGTCTATCGCAGAGGTTCATTCTGTATCTTTATATGTCTGGGAAATATTGCATATGAAAATAAAAGATATGAGTAGGACATGAATATTTCACCATAGGTGCCTTCGTAGCATTTCTCAATTATTATAGAACACCAGATTCAGCTATTTTGACGTTTGACTCGGGACACTAAGCAAAGATGGGAAGCTGATTGATGAAGTTGTGAGTCCTCACTGACTAAGTTTCTAGAACATATGTTATGTATACTAAACTACCACGCCTTGAGACACGATGTTGGATAGCCTAAGAGTAAGTATTGAAGGGACTACCAAACCAAAGCATGGCATCGGTCTCTGCAATCATTGAAATCTAGACCGGGTCATGTCGGTAGATTCAAACTACCTGACTGCGGTCGGGGCAGTGATTGCCAGACGTTAGATGACTTGGATCAGATACATCTATCCATATCTTTCTATAACTTTTGAATTTAGTGTCATCCCACGCTTTCCATTCTCTGATCTCATTTGTTTTTATCTATTACGCTAGTGCTATTACTGCTTATTGTACTCTGGTATCTCACTATGGTGATATGTGGTGAAACTGAGCTGATGCACATTTGTACCAGATTTTACACTGCATATAAATGACTGACTCTTCATAGTTAAATTTCCATTACAGTTGATATTGTTTTCTCTCGTCTGCTTCTTGTTAGCTTCCTTTCTGACTGTCCTAATATGAAATACGATAATTTGGATTGGCAGATATTCCTTCCAGGTCGTAAGTTGTCTGTTACTGGTTAATTCCAGGGAATAAAAATGATTTTCATTCATTCCTATCGAGTACAGGACTGTGTAATCGGCTTCGAGCCACTTTTTGTATTTAAAGGTTAATGATACTACTTGGCTGCCCAAACTGATGTAGATGCTACAGGGTTCAAGTTTAAAACCTGTTAATTGGGAGTTGACTACTTTACTCACTGTGTTTTTATAGTTTATTATGTTACCGATTATATAAATATTGGTAGTGACCTATTGTTACAATTATTCTATGACTCATATTTCCCATTCATGTTATGTATGATTTACGTTTTATTCCAAGTAGACATCGCTTCACTAAATTCTACCAAAGAACCATGTTCAATAAGAAATTCAATTTATGTACCTGAAAATCGACAAACTAATATGGGATCATTTTGTCGACAAATAACCTCGTCCATTATTCCTCCTTCAGACCCGATTTTATCTTATTGTAAACCAACAGATTTAAATTTGACTTCAAATAATAATTATATTGCATCAATGCCATCGATTTTTCAACCGTTACCTTTTTTACTACAATCGACTTCGTCTTCAGTGATACCAGTTTCATCGTCATCAACCTTATCGTCCAGTTTATCATCTTTTCATAGTCCATATAATTTACCATCGTCTGTTTATCCGTCCGTACCATTTTCTAACCATCTATGTCCTTCATACTGTTCTTTCTCATCTCATAGTTTAAAACCTATTCCAAGCGTTAAACCTTATTTATCCTCTAATCATACGTATTTAGAATCATCTAGATTATACTGGATAATGTCAATAGTAAATCATTTAATCAAACGACTACATTCAATGCCCCCAGTACGACAATAACAACTGCGACTATGAATGCCGCTGCTATAATTACAAATACAACAGAAGATTGTGCTTATCATCAATCCGAGCAATTAAATTCAACTATATTACATCATGCATCCAGTGATAGTTTATCTAATCAAGACAGTAAATCCTCTTTCTTACATCCACCTGTTTTCAATTTCTCCTCTCCTAAAATTTCTGCCATCGTTGAAAATATTAGTGATAATAATAACTCCTTAAATAATTCAGTTGCTGATCAATTCCCAACATCTAGTTCAAATATTTCTCAAACTTGCTTAATTCCATCATCAACATCATTGACTTGCATAAATGTATCTCAATTAACACAAACCTCTACTGTATCTCCAACTCAACTACTTAGTAATAATACCAACGATAATCTACCGAATAACTTCGAAAATGGTATGCTGATTACTAACAGTAATAGTAATAGCAGCGGTAGTAGTATTAGTACCATTACTACTAGTTGCATCAGTAATATCAATGATGATTTGAATATTGACAAAAAATCGCCTAGTCTTAATATTAACAATTCATCTGAGTCAAATACTTCGGAAAGCACAAATGCTGACGAAAAAGTAAGATCATTTTTGATTTTATAATTCTTTTGGCTTTTATGCTTTAGTAGTAAATACTATGGTATGGTATGGGTCGCAATGATATGATAGTCGAAGCACTAGAACTTCAGTCAGTTGGTTCCAATATCTGATCCCACTTTACTTATTTTAATTTTGGTACCCAATTGGTAGTATCACTGGCTCCCTCACTGTGTGTGGCTCGAAGCCAAATTCATGGTTAATAAGTTACATGATATGAATACTGTTATAGAAATGAAGATGAACGACAATAGATATTATCACTAATCGGTTCAGTAAATTGAGTATGAAACAATATTGAATTGTCTATTTCCTTTGGATATTAATCAATTTTTCAGTGTATAAACACTAAGCTAAATAATTTGATTTAGTAGCGTATATATTGTAGCGGGCGGTGTCCAAAATCTGATACTGATACACTGTGTACTACACGCCACCCCTCCAACTGACTAATTGAGTGAGAACACAACAGTAAGCGAGAGTGTATTGGGCTAACGGAAAAATGCATATATATATATATATATATATATATATATATATATATATATAGTCAGTTGACTATTGGTTTCTTCTCTCAAAATTTTTTCAGTCGCGATTTTGATGCCTGTCTGATGAGCAAATTACCAGTTCGACTGTCTCAGGCTTGCTGCTAAATTTGAATGACCATTTGTTCTGTCATCGAGAAATTTTTGACATAAGTTCGCGTATTGATTAATCCTAATATGTTATGAGTTATTTTAAAAGTTGAAGAACCCTGTATTTCATTTTAAAAATAAGTCTTTATCGTTTATACTTAAAGGCAATACAGTGGCTGTCATGCTCGCTTAATTGATTTATGAATTACTGTAAATATTGTAATATGACTACTCATTCGACATATACTTGGATACAAACCACCCTCCAAGTACGAGGAGTAATGATACTACCAGGTTGCTCAAACTGAGGTACGTGGAGCGGGGTTCAAACCTAGGACATGATGGTTGGGCTCCTTAACCACTAAGACACCATTCCAGACTAATAAGATACTCACGGGACCAATCCAAGTTGTTTTTATGTAGCAGGACTACTTTGTTAATATATATTAATAGGATAAAGCTACTATTGATGCACAGAATATCCGGACAGAGTAATATGATTATTAATTTATTGTAGCTTAACGAATAAATAATTAAGCACTTAAGTCAAGGTTAAGAAACAACCATTGATTATTCACTTATGTTCATCATGTAACTAACATGTTATTCAGTCACATATTATGTTTCTTTCTCATTTGTCTGTCCAAGTTTAATAAATTTTAAAACCATAGTTTTGATAAATTGATTCACAACTGAGTAGTTCACAGTGTAAATAAACTAATGTATTTCGGTAAATAAGCGTAGCTTTGTATACTCTACTTCGAGCCACGCTTTTTATGTGAGAGTGATAGATTATTTGGCTGCCTGAATCAAAGTAAGTAGAACTAGATTCAGGCCTGCAACCAAATTAATACTGTTTTAACAACTAAGCTATCCCTTCATTAACCTGTAGTCTAAGCCTATACGATGATATTTTAATCATCCATTCTAACACCAATTGAATTCTTAAGCTACTTTTTAGCATGATTTACTTTTGACATACTTTCTTCTCTTTGCGCTTCTGTGTAAATACTTTTTACAACTGAATACAGAAGGCGGACGTATCGTGAATGCCAGAGCGGTTTATGCCAATCTGCCCCATCTTTTGCACTGTCATGATGTTATTCTGGTTGTTAAAGGTTGGATTTACAACGCACCAATAAGAGAAGTTCTCCTCTGTGCTTCTGATACCTGGTCTTCTCAAATTGGAGATGTTTAGCAACTCTCTGTGCTTGTTCATCGGTGTCTGTGAAGGATCGTTGACAGTTAGTAATGTTGAGGTTTGGAAATATGTGTTTGAATGCAGTGACAGTAACTAAACTGATGTTACTATCTTGAAACACTGAATTCGGTGGTTTGGACATGTTTTGCTAATGTCTTCCCAGTTTCTTCTATATAGTGCATTATTTGTCGACATCTAAACGGTGTGATAAAGGCAGAATGGTGTATGATTTATAAAATGGGGCTGTGCTATGAAAAAAAGTTGTGTAGGACTGGCTTCTATCTATCCATTGCGACTCAACGGTTGGGATCCGAGAGATGGTGCAAGTCCACGGCTTAATACATTATCAGAATATATTAAGCCATGGACTTGCACCACCATCCATTTGATCATAGGTGTCTTCGAAACATTGCTCGTATATCCTGGGACCATCGAGTAAGTAATGCAGTTGTTAGGAAACGGGTACTAGGTAAGGATGGCAAACCAATTGATGACGTAGTGAAACTTCATCAGTTGAGATGGCTGGGACACGTGTTACGTATGCCCAACGACCGACTACCTCGACGTGCGATGTTCAATGGTATAGGAGTAGGTTGGTCGAAAGCTAGGGGCGGCCAGACCAAAACATGGCACAATTCCATGAAGTCACTGACAAGTGGACTGAGTCATGTTGGTAGGTGTAGACTACCTGGTTGGGGACCGCGAGATGATAGCAACCGACGGTTAGAGACCCTGAATGACATGGCTCAAAATCGTTTGCAATGGCGCAGGTGCATACACTCTTTGTGTTCTCCTAAATTTTGATCTCCTTATTCCTCCTTGTCTCTTTTTTTTCTCTTCCCAAATTTATTTCACTGTATTATACTCTTTAAATAACATCTCCAAACACTAGTTTTCCTGATTACTGCTTATACTCTTATTACTTCTACCACTACGGGATTTGAATCGACCACTGCATCTCTGTGCTAATGTGGTGTGGCAACTCGAACTGATGTACGTACGTACGAAGTTCTACGTTGTTACTGACTGACATTATCAGAAACGGGTCATGATAGAAGTCATTAACGATCCTGCTATATCTTTCTTTTATATTCTTCACAAAAGTTAGAGGAACCCCGTCAATTGAAGAGTATTTTTTCTTGTATTCTCAGGCGATCTGTATCTCTCGTTTTAAACTATCCTCGTTAATGTATTTTTATTCGCTGTTTGTTTTGGTTACGTTCCCCTCTCCTCCCTTAATCTCATTTTATTATTTATGTGACTCATGTTTATTTTTATACCCTTTTGTACCGCTGTTTATGTTTTGAGTAAATAAATAACAGGAAACAAAAATCCATACTGACTAGTATGTATGTGGTAAATCGGTTTGTTTATCTCGATGTCTTTCTTATTTTCTGTCAACAGCTACCTTGGTGTCAATTGGAAAATAACTAATGGCGGTTAAACCTAGACAGGGTATTGGTCCGTGAAATTATTTAATGTTGGACTAGGTCGTGTTGAAAGTCACAGGCTTGATATTATTCAGCGATGTAATCCTGACATACTACTGGAGACCTCATGTGATATGAATGACAGTCGGTTGCAGCGAACCAGATATGATCATCCTTTACTATTTTTCAGGCACTAATAATAATATTTTGGCTACTTTCATTTTCATCCTGTTAATTTCCTTCCCTTGTTTGTGTTTGTTGCATGGTGGCTGGGGACTTGATGTGACAGCTCAAAATCTTTCACAAAGACGCAGATTCATTCACTCTTTATCGTCCTGTCAATATTGAATTCAAGTATTCCTTCTACATATATCTTTTTGACCTGTTTTTCTAACCACATTCTCAACTCTTACTCTTTCTTATTGTCGTTACTACTAGATTGTTTCGACGGTATGGCTACTTTGACCAACGCACATCCGTGCCAGACTGTACTTTGATGATAACTGAATGAAAGTCTGTGTATTAATGCCAAGTGTGACAGTTTAGGCGGACATAAATATTTCAGGCTCTACTGTGTACCAATTAATTGTCATCTATATTTTTAATACCTATTGACTTCCATTAAATGCCATCAATGCGCTTAGTTTACCGTTGTTTGCCGTAGAAATTAAATGTCGACGAAACCACTTGATAGCTATGCGTAATATTATCTTCATTAGTCTTCAATAATTATTAATTAGATGTTATTTTAATTTCTTTTTCTGTGGTTTTTAGCGCAACGGTCTTCCACGTTTCAATTTACGCTATACTAATGTACTTCATTATCCAAAATATTCCAGTCGTAAAAATTCAGGCTTTGAAAGACGTCTTAAGTAAGTCAATTAGCGTTTATTACTACTATTTACTTATTTATTATCACTATTTTAATAGTTAATGCAATTTATTTTAGTTAAACAACCATTGAATAAAAGGAAGCATTGGACATCTGTTTCGTTAAATACTTTATTCAGCAAATAGAGTAGTCACAAATCTGTTAATTTCATTAAGAATAAGATCTATATCAACATAATAAACGATCTGGATGACGTTAAAATTAACTTTAACTCTGCGTAAGGTCTATCGCCCTGAGTATCATCATAATATGTACATTGAACAGTGTGAGAATATTATTACTATAACTTGTGAATTGAATGCTGATTGTGTTGCTTTCTGTATCTGGTCGTCGCTGATTATTATGTCAGAAACACTTATCACTTATACTCGGAACGAGGAACCTCCGCAATTCCCACGACGCGAAAGTAAGAACACAAAGACTGGTATAAGTGAAGATTTATTAACCCCCAAAACACGACGACAACGACCCTAGTCGAAAATACACTCATTTATATATTGATTCGTACACCCATTTTGATTAATATTTAGAATGAAATCACACATAAAAAAATACTTAGAGTTATAAAAAATCATATACTGAGCATAGTTCATATCAATTGAATACAAGAATATCGTATATTATACAGCATAAGATATCATACGAGGAAACAAAACAAATATTACACTGAATAATCATGGCCCCCAAATGCCCTGGTACGGCCGAGAGTGGGGAGAATCCGCTTTCTCTCTCGAACTGCTCTCACATGGCCACGCGTATATAGCCTCTACCAGGGAAGTCCTACTCAGTACCTTCTCGTGGCGGGGGTGTTGTTTACGAAATTGAGAGTACGAAAAGCGAACGTCCGGCGCTTTAACCGAGTTGGTGGACACGAAGAGTCCACCTAGGGGAGTTGGAAAACCCTGATTCCAAATCAATGGTTCACATGGGCCCCAGTATCCTTGATACGTCTTGTCGATGAAACGCTATATACGATTCCTAAGCTATTCCGGTAACCCGCAGTCTAGAACTACACAGCGACTTGAACACCAGAGAGAAGACACAAGTATGAGAGAAAATACTTTGTCCCAAGGTTCATTTTTGCACAGAAAATCAAGGGTATTTATAGATGTTGGCGTCTGTTAAATCAACATCATATTTCAGCCAATCCGTTAACGTCATCTTATGCTACCGACCAATAATAGCACACCACGCTGGAATTCTCGAACGTTCCACCGTACTCTGATTGGCTAGGATCCTTCGGGTTCTTTTGGTCCACTGGAGGCTCCGTTGAAGTTCTCCGGAAGCCGACTCAACACCTCCCCCGAATAAGATTTCTTTCTGGAATCTACTTGTAGTTTGACGACTGGGTAGCGACGGCGTCCCATTATTCTTGTCGTTTTCCTTGTCCAAGGTATCTTTTCAGTGTTCCTGGGCATTTGTGCATCTAAGATTAAATCTAATGGGAAGTTCGGCCGGTTACTTTGAGTCTGCACCGTCCTTTTGTCCTTAAGGATTTGATTTGTGTGTCGTATACATGTCCCAAAAGCTCCTCGAACTCTGTACAGAACTCTTACCAGTTTTTGCACAACTCCCGGTTCCCACCGGTTCTTCCCGATGTAGGATTTAATGTAAACTTTGTCGCCAAGATTGAAGTTCCGGATACTTGGATCGTGACTGCGCTCATCCACTAATTTGGATGGCAACATGGCATCGAAGACGGTTCGAATACGCCTTCCGAACGTGGCTTCCGCGGGAGACTTACCGTCTAGAACATTCAGGTTCGGGGTGGATCTGTAAGATGTCAAAAATTTTGTGATCACCTGCCCTGTCGTCCCTTCGCTTCCCCCTTCAGTAGTGCTCTTTTCAATGTATCCACGAAGCGCTCTGCCTGGCCATTTGATTGAGGGTGATACGGTGGAGATCGTATGTGTGCAATCCCATTAACGTTGCAGAAGTGCTTGAATGATTCTGCAGTGAATTGTGAGCCGTTATCGGTCACTAAAGTCTGCGGAACTCCAAAGCAGCTAAACAGCTGGCTGTGCAGTTCGCCATGGCGTAGATTTGTGGCCATTTTGTGTGCGTGTCTACTATGACTAGATACATTCTTCCTCGTATTGGACCGGCGAAGCCTGCATGCAGCCTCTCCCAGGGACTATTCGGCTTTTCCCATTGTTGTGATTCACACTTGTTTGGACTTTTGGCTGCTTGTAAGCACGATGAACAATTGCGGCATCTGGTTTCGATATCTTGATCCATCGTAGGCCAGTATGCGTAGCTTCGAGCCAATGCTTTCATCTTATTGATACCAGGATGACCGCTGTGGAATTGTCTCAGAACCTTGGAGCGCAATACTTTTGGAACAATAATTCTGTCACCAAACATAATACATGAGTCGACCATCATGAGTGAGTCCCGTCGGCGAAAATATTGTAGCATTTCTCCTTGAAAACGACGGTTCGGCCACTTGGTGAGAAGATAACCACTAACCTCTCTTAAAGTCTTGTCATTTTCCGTGGCTTCTTTGATGGCCTTGAAAGTAACTGGTAAACCATCAACTGCGTCTTCCAAAACTCGATGTACTTCTGTTTCCGTCTCGATTGCTGCCACCAAAGTGTCTTCTTCCCGTTTTACTTGTGAACTAATCAGTCTAGATAAAGCGTCAGCTTGTCCGAAATCAGTAGTGGGCTGGTACTTGATCTTGAAGTCATAACCCAAGAGTATAGTTCCCCAACGTTGCAGTCTGTTTGCAGTGTATACAGGTATACCTTTCTTCGACCCAAAGATGGCTAGTAATGGTTTATGGTCAGTTAATAGGGTGAACTGACGTCCAAATATCATCTTGTGAAATTTCTTGACAGCGAAGATAATCGACAATGCTTCCTTCTCGGTCTGACTATAGTTCCTTTCGGTCGTTGTCAAAGATCTGGCAGCGTGTGAGATAGCTTTTTCAGACCCATCAGGAAAAATGTGAGAGATAACTGCGCCCACACCATAGTTAGAAGCATCTGAAGCGACGACTATCGGTAGCGAAGGATCATAATGTGTCAATAAGAGATTGGAAGTCAGGAGTTGCTTGATTTTCTCGAAAGACGCTTGGCAGTCTGCAGACCAATTCCATCTTGTATTCTTTTGTAGTAGGTTGTTTAGTGGAGCACGTAGACGATGGAGATCGGGGAGGAAGGTACCATAATGACTGACCAATCCCAAGAATGATCGTAGGGTAGTAATGTCCCTGGGTCTAGGCATTGTTTTCACTGCTTCAATGTTCTCTGGATCTGGTCGTCTTCCGTCTTTATCTATTATGAACCCAAGGTACCGTACTTGCTGCATATAGAAGTCACACTTTTCCGCTCGGAGGCGAAAACCATAATCGGCTATGCGTTCTAGTACCTGGTCCAGTTTCTTCTGCAGGTCCATTTTATCTACTGCCATAATTATGATGTCGTCTAAGTAAGCTGCTGCCCCTGGAATACCTTGTAACATGGTATCCATAATTTGCTGGAAAATAGAGGGCGCTGTCTTCACCCCAAAAGGTAGTCGGTTATACCGGAACAGACCTTTGTGTGTGTTGATCGTTAAGAGATCTTTGCTTTCATCAGATACAGGGATTTGTAGGTATGCGTCTGATAAGTCCAATTTCGCAAAATATCTGCCACCGTTCAGCTTAGCGAAAAGATCTTCCGGTAAGGGCAACGGATACTGGTGGGACTCTAGAGCTTCATTTAATCCCGTGGAGTAGTCTGCACATAGACGGACACTTCCATTCGACTTCTTGACCACCACTATTGGTGCAGCCCAATTCGAGAAGTTTACAGGCTCGATAACACCCATTTGCTGAAGTCGTTGTAATTCTTGTTCAACTATTGGAAGAGCAGCATAGGGTACAGGTCTTTTAGGTCGAAAAACGGGAGCAGCTGCAGGTTTTAGAGTTAGCACTGCTTTGGCCTTCGTACATTCCCCCAATCCTTCTTTAAACACGTTTTGGTGTCTTTGTAGCATGGCATTTTTCTGGCTCCACTCTGGGGTGTTGTCTGTTCTGATTCGTCTGCAGATACTGTTAATAGAATGGTCTGCTAGTTTAAGTGTTTCTATAAGATCCAACCCCATTAAGTCGAGTGCTGGCTTCTTTGTAAGATACACTGTTGCATTTGTTGTTACAGTACCTTTAGAAACAGTGCATGGCACTTCTCCAACAATATTTAACTTCCCCCAGATGCACTGTGTGCCAGCTGTGTTGTTGGGAAAACTGTGGGTCTTCCAATGTTCTTCCATGTTTCTGGGCTGATTAGAGTAATATCAGAAGCTGTGTCAAGCTGAAGGCGGGTACGGTGTTTATTAATATTCAAGGTTACATACTTTCTTTGGTGGCAACTTCGTGCTCTGTTATGTGATACCAATATCTTGTTGGTTGGAGCACTATATCTGTATTTCTTTGAGTAAGGTTTCAAGGAATGTTGTTTATAGTTTCTTCTCCTGCAGAAGTTTTCTTTATGCCCCTTCCGATGACATTTGCTGCAACGATGTTCTTTATATGGGCAAAACCTCTTATAGTGCCAACCTCCACATGCCCAGCATGGAGATGATGGTTTGTCGCTGTTATTTCGAAAATTATGGGTACTGGAACCTTGAAAGACTTTTCTCTTGACTGCATTGACGTTATGGAAACAGTTACCGTTTTCTACCATTGAGGTATCATGCTTCAAGTTTACTAACCTTTGGCACTCGGTAGTCACTTCTTGCAGGGTCATGTTAGGGCAGTGTTCGAGTTTGCTTAGGATTCTGGTTCGGATATCGGCATCCTCGGGTGAACGCAGGCTGCAGATAAATACTAAGCATTTAAACTGATCTTCAGACATGGACGACAATCTGAACCTCTCACATTCTCGGTTCACAGTTCCTGCATGCTTCACCCAGTCATCTCCTGGTTCTTTCGTTAACTTTAAGCACTGGTAACGGATATTGAATAGAGATGATTGTTCTCCGAAGATTTGGGACAGG